AATAAATCAAATTAAAAGACAATTGCATACATGTACCTGTAAGATTTATGGGTCCTAGAACATGAAATTACACATTTTTGTATGACAAATGCTGCTTGTGTACTAAGTTGCAATTTTAAAGATTTCCAGTTCACACTTCTCAGGTTATAGTACACATGTAAAAAGAAGAAAAAGAAGCTAAATGAGTAGATGTTTATCCCCTTTTGGATGTCATCTCTCACCCCTACAGATATTTCAACTCTACTTCTGTGAAGCAGTTTGACAATTGGTGAGGGAGACCAACCGATATATGCAGATCAGACACAATCTGTAGAATCCGCTAACTCTCAGTGTACTTGGATTCTAACGGATGTTCCTGAAGTGATGGCCTTTGTCGCACTGCTACTCTCGATGGGCATCAACAAAAGGCCTAGCCACGCGATGTACTGGTCCAGGTGCGAAGTTCTTTGAAGTCCTTTGTATCACAGCAGACTACTCTCCCCGTGACAAACTGTCTAAAGTTCGTCTGCTACTGGACATTGTAGTTCCGTTGTTTCCGAGCATCTATGAGCCCAGACGAAACCTCTCACTGGATGAAACTATGATAAAGTTTAATGGCCGAATCGGTTTTAAACAGTACATACCACGCAAGTCGGCCAAATATGGCTTGAACTGTTTTTCTTTGAACGAGTCTCAACCGGTTACACATGTGACGGGGGGGGGGTGTTTACAGAATCCAAGGCTCCATCAGACCAAATCATCCCGCATTCTGTTGCGTGCGCTGAAGCCAACCGTCTACCCAACCTTGCAGCACCAGGCCAAGTTTTCGTCGACCAACTGAAAGGACTGGGAAACAAGGGACATGTTGTTTTCATGGACGATTGGTACAATAGCCTTGCTATTATCCCGGAAGAAGTAGGCAAGGCCAAAAACGAAACTGTGTTGTTTGCAGTACGAGAACCCAACGTAAACAGACTGGAATGGCTTGTAAGACTTGCCAGAAACCAACGTGTCTAATGCCATGCTTTGAAACATTCAGTGTGCGTTAACATAGACTGTGGTAGTTTAGATTGCGCCCCCCTTCAACCACCCCCATCCCCTTCCAATGTTGCAGTGGATCGCCATGGTCGCGCACCAGCCTTTAACGCAACTCAGGCTCCTGCCACCCCCGCCCAATTCCTCGCTTCTCCTCTTCAACTTCACCATCCCCCCATTGCAATGGACCGCCATGGGCGCTTACCAGCCTTTTTAACGCAGCATGGATGAGGGGCGGGGGCCACGGGGTGTGGAGGGTGGGAGCAAAGGCCTTCAAGAAATCTGAGCGGAAACTCATGTGCCATAAATGTGGTGCCATCTGCAATCAGTCTTGTTGTAGATAAGAATAAATGTAGCACACCCCTGAATAAAAGCAGTTTATTCCTGTAATTTCATCAATGGTTCTTCATGATTTGAAGAGAGTTCCATGTACGAAGTTCACTCATTTTCATATTCAGTTATCAATTACTTACCAGAAATCAGTTAGAGGTCTGGAAAGTCCATTTTAGCAGCGACAGAGTATAAGCTTTTTCAATGAAAACACAATATTTCAGACCAGTCTCCGAGGGTTTGTGCAAAGGGTGTAAAATGAACTTCGTTTATGGAAATCGTTCCCATGCTTTTTACCAAAACAACTTCAGTACTATTCTCCCTATTAGATATTACTACTAGTCAACGGGGTGTCATTGCAAGAGTAGCCTTTCATGATGTCGACTGGTGAGGGCGCTATACTTCAAAACTTGCTTAATTTGTCTGGTAAACAAAGGGAACTTGCATGTAAAATAGTCTGGTAAGGAACCCTTAAATGATCAAAGCGGTCTTGGGGCTGATGGGGTTAAATGGGCTGTGTCTGAGGAGTTCAGAGAGTACCTATAAGGGAGGAAAACTGTGGTTTGGACAGATAATAACCCTGTATCGCGTATTCAAACTGTATGCGTGCCCATGCAACATCTGCTGTTTTTCCAACCTTTAGAGTGGTTAGCAATCGATTTTCTCAAACTTGACAAGGGAAAAAGCAATATTGAGGAGGTCCTCGTCATTGCAGACTCTTTCACTAAGTTTGCAGTAGCAGTGCCCTGCAGGGTTTAGAAAGCATCCACAAAAGTGGCCCGGACATTAAGGGACCATTGGTTTGTTCGGTATGGGGTCAAAATGCAGTTGTATTCGGATAGTGGCCGAAATTTTGAGGGCAATGTAATCCAGGAATTGTGCAAATTGTATGGAGTCCGCAAGACAAGGACAACCCCATATCATGCCCGAGGAAACGCTAAGACAGTGCGTTTCAACAATACGCTATGTGGGTTAAGCAAATCAGTCGATCGTAAGAATGTAGTTCTTAAGAGTCGTAGTAAATGGCCAGATTAGTATATTTGGCCCTTATTTGGTTTTCATATGTAATTCCACACTACACAGCGTGACCGGAATTACTCCGCACACGCTTATGTTTGGCCGTGAGCTAGTGATACCACTAGATCAGCTGATAAGCCTCACTCTTCCAACTGGAATGAGAGCATTGTGCAGCAACAGGCTAACTCATCCAAGAAGCACATCGGTTGGCGAAGCAACGTTTACTTAAAGCAGCGCAGGCGAGCAAGCGCCGTTATGACAAGCGCGTGCACAAGAGTTTCCTTTCTGTTGGTAGTCGGGGACTCTTGAAAGCATGCGCGTTCACATATAGGCAAAAGTTGGCAAACACTTATGGTGAATTGCAATATATCATGGTGAAGCGTAACCAGGAGGGGAATCTGTATGCTGTGAGATGGGGTGCCCTACAGTGGGTCAATCGGAAGATGCTCGTCCTTGATACTAGGGGGAGTCTGCTGAGACTAACTTGGGTACGCCTCCTTTCAACCTACCCTTCATGGAAGGTGATGACAAAATTGGGGCTGAACGCGTTTCTTCCTCTGATGAATATGATTGGACAGTTGTCCCCTCATCTGACAGTAAAACTCCAAGCTCGCAGCCTGTGGACACACCTGTAAATAAGGATTCTCCAAAAAAGACAAATTCTTGTGGACCACCGATTCATCGATGAAAACCAGTTCTTCATCGCCAAGTGCCTCGGTACTTGCTCCATCCCCTGCACCTGATACGCTCCTAAGACGCTCCGAACATCTTCGGCAGAAGCGTTTTGGCTACTGGCCGAATGGTATTACCTGACTGTGATGTATATTAAATTGGTGATGGTTTTGAAAGTTTCAAATTCCTTCGCCGTAATGTAAGTGGCACATAGCTTTGCCTGCTCACCCGTTGCAGTACAGGCTGAGTTCCGACCCGTGCAAGTTATTCACTATTGTTGTGAATAGGAGCTAATTATTAGGACATACATGTAGGTGTATATGGACTTAAGTCGAAGCTTCTTATGTAAGATAGTTTGGGAGGAGATTTGCCTGCCTGAGGGACTGGCCCTGTGCCATATCTTATACCATTTGTTTCTTGCTTTTTGTATTGTTTACAGTTACTGTGAAGACTCCCACCTAGTGGTTGTCCCAGATTTGTTTAATAGGACTATTGAGTCAAGAAGGGATTCCATCTGCCGCATGATTGTCACTTGAATATCATCTGCATCCTTCACCCTTAAAACAACCTAGTCCAAATGTTTGCGTGTGGGAAGGAAATGCTAGGTCTCCTTCATCAGCACGGTTACCCTCCGGTTATCACAGACGCTGCCTTCAATGCCGTATCTTCAATCCCGCGCGAAACGGCTCTGAAACCCACCGGGGCCAAGCAACGTGATCGCGTCCCCCTTCTACTCACATACCACCCTCGAAACATCCTGGTACGTAATGTTCTTCTCAAACATTTTCGTACATCGGTAATGAGGCGGCCACAGCTTCCATTTTCGCCGAACCCCCAATTTGCGCGTTTAGGCGCGATCGTTCTGTCGGGGACACGGTTGTACGTTCCCAGTTGGGTTCCGTCTCACCGTTAAAAGCAGGTAGCACTTCCCCTTGTCAGCGCCCCAGATGTAACATCTGCCCCTACATAGTTAACAGCCCGTCGGTCGTCGGCCCCCACGATAGCTACAGAATATGTGGGGATTATAAATGCATTACTAGTAATGTGGTTTATTGCATTACATGTCGTTGGTGTGGTAAACTGTACACCGGAGAGACCAAGCGTCGCCTCGGTGACCGCTTCGCGGAACACTTGCGCAGTGTTCGCCAGCAAACACCTGGTTTCACTGTTGCGCAGCACTTTTGCGCGCCGCCACATTCCCTCGGTGACGTAAGCGTCTGCATTCTGCGGAAAGCATCATCTGATGTACAGCGTGCGGAACTGGAGCAGCGCGTCATTTTCGAACTTGGAACGCTGCATCCAGGGGGAATGAACGTGGATTTTTCCGCGTTCATTCAGAACTGAATCTGCTTGCCCTGAAGAAGGTATTCAATTACATATTTCAGAGCACTGATTTGAAATTATGTTCTTGTCAATATTCTGATCACAGTGCTACACAGCCCTTCCATATTAGTTGAGAACATAGAGTTGGATATTATTATATCCAACTCTATGGTTGAGAAATATTGTTCCGTTGTTCAAAGGTCGAGAATATGCAGTGCGTTGGTGTGCACTTGGCTTGAACTTGAAAACAAAGCAGTCACTGTGCTTCGCGCGCATGTGTTTCTATGCAACCTTTACCCCATGGGCTGCATGCGCGTTCCTTCACTAGCCTGGTTGTGCAGAATTCGAAAATGATGCTAACTGGCAGTCTAGGATGAAAGTGAGAATGGGATTGCGAGGCACTTTATAAGCAAAATCAATAGGAATAAGAAAATTAAAAAGTAGTGCTCACCAACGTGAAGAGCCAAATTTTCGACCCTACTGGGTCTTTGTCAAGGCTTAGAATGCTGGTCTTATGCTTCGAAGTCCACATTCAACCCAGCAGGCGTCACTGTCCACAGCCTGAATATTGCGCGTTGTTCTTTCTCGATGCGCTCGGCGTCAGAGGTTGCCCGGGTGAGGACGCAAATGCACACGTCGTCAAGTGTGTGTGTTAGCATGTTGAAATGGCACGCCACCAGTTATCCCGGTCCTTCCGGATACTGCAGAGGTGGTTGACGAATCTGTCGCCCAGTCGACGTTTAGTTTATCCGATGTATGAGCAGGAGAGGCAGTATACCACGTTAGTGGAAGTATACCTCTTGGTGTGAAACTACCCCTGGGTCCGACGTTAAGAGGGGGTTGTGTAGATAGTTGCAGGTGATACAGCGGGGACTATGGCAAGGGTGGGTTCCTGGATTGGAAGTAGGTGCGAGTGGATGGTGGAACTAACAAACACAGTCCCGAGGGAGCGGCCACTGCTAAACGCCCAAGGTGGATCAGGAGATGCGGGAGGTCATGGGGTCAGCTCTAAGTTTGTTGGCGTGCTTGTGGGCAATGCTACAAACCTGCTTGTTAAAGGGGTGGTAAGTTAGTGTCAACGGCACCTGGGATTGGTTCCGCTTAGGTGACGGTGTCAGTGCTTCGTCACTGGTCTTCCTGACCACCCTCTGGAGTGTGGACATGACAACTTCTTCGGGGTAACCCCTCCTGAGGAAAAAAATGAGTCATATCTACGGATGGGCGGTTGAATTCAGCGTCTTCGTTACAGATCCGTCTCAGTCGTAGAAATTGTAAGGGATGGAATTCTCGCAAGAACGTGGACGTGACAAGTCATATTAGAGGCTTGTAGGTTTGTCGGTTTGTAGAAGACTGTGGTGAAAATCTTGTCTCTGTCGAGTAGTATGTCAAAAAGGTACACTATCTTCAGAGACTTGTGTGGTGAACTAAGCTAGGTGAAACGATTGAACGAACCTACTGAAGGAGTCCAGTTCAATCTTGGTGCAGCAAGCGACCCCGACAATACTTTCGACGCATCTCTTGTATAGAAGAGGGAATGGGCCCGTGTAAGCGTCGAAGGGTTGTGTTTTAATGTAGCCAAGAAGCAAGCGTAACTGAGTCCCATACGCGTGCCAATGTTGCCTCTGTTGAATGAAGTAACGATCTCCAAAGACAGTTATTCAGCTTGAGAACCAGCTCTCCCAAGCGGACCAGAGTCATTGACTAGGGTGTGGGGTCCCATCTAAGCTCAAGGAAGTACTGGCACCAGCCCGTCGTTGTGAGGTATAGAAGTGTAGAGTGACTTGAAATTCATGGTAAACAAGTACTTGTGGTAAGACGGTGGAAAACTGACATCACAGAACAAGCGGAACGCATCAGCCGTGTCTTTGACGAAGGATGGAAGAGACCAAGTGGCTCAGGATGGCGTCCAAATATTGAGACATCAATTCAGTAGGACAGCTAAATGCAGAGATGATAGGACAACCAGGATTACCAGGCTTGTGGGTTTTAGGAAGTAGGTAGAAACGGCCTGAATGAGGTGAGGAAGCTTCAAGTTTCTTGGCGTTTGAAGGAAGTGCACCTGAACGAATCATTTCGTCGATAGCGTCGACAACCATCTTTTGGTGTAATTCTGTGACGTCATGGTATACTTCTTTGTAAGCGGAACTCACAGAAAGTTACCGTTCTGCTTCCTGCAAGTACAAGCCACACCTGCAGACAACAGTAGTTCCTCCTCTGTCGGCCCTCTTGATGACAATAGAGCGGTTCTGACAGAGCGAGTGAATGGCCTGGCGTTCTTCAGTCGATATGTTCGAGTAGGCAGGTGTATAGAAATTTAAGTTGTGTACTTCGTTTCTAAAGCTGTCGATCGCGTGATAAAGAGTGCTGTTACGGCCTCAGGGAGGACACAATTTAGATTTTCTACGCCAAATTTTGTCCAAAGGGTCAACTGGAGTTTTATCATTTTGAGCACTCATATGCTCAGCGGCAGGATTATCGCTGGAATTAGGTGCGGCTGGCGTCGATGTACTTGGTTCCTCAGCACTCACATGATGGAAGTACTCTTTTAGGCGAAGACGGCAAAAGAAATCTTTGGTGTCTTTTTGGGTGTTTGTCAATCATGTCGGGCAGCGTTTAAAGAGCACCTCCAAGGGAAACATGTTTTCTCTTGTTTTATCTGTTCAAATAAACATGGAAGAACCGAATCAAACGCAGTGCCATTTGTCTTCAGAGCTCAACCGTATTAAACTAAAACGGCCTTTTCAGTTCATGCCAAGATGCAAGTTCTGAGTGTAGATTGCGTCATTCGGAGAAAACAAAGGGAACCCTAGCTCGCCCTGTGTTCGTAGTGGATAAACCCTCGTGCATGCCGAACAGTGCATGTAGCCATTGTTTGTAGCCACAGTTTGGAAATATTGTTCCTTTTTTCAAAAGCCCGGACACCTATCCAGTGTCATAGAGCTATATATAAATGTATAATTATGCACTGCACACGAATATTGCCGTGACATTTTTAATCGGATTTTATCGGTACCGGTGCGCACGAGAGGTGCTGGCTTCAGAGCCATGGACTCACTTAACACTGGCTGAATTAAGGGAACGACTTTTCAATTTATCTGAACCTGTTCATCGAAAGACAGCCATCGAAAGACATGCATACCAAATTAGACGACCTTACTCGAATGTTACTGAAACATTCGTTTTAAAATAATCAGCTACGGCAGTAATAAACATGTGCCATTGCTCTGTACATGCGTGCCTTATTCAAAAGACGCACTGTCATTAGCGTGTATTGTACTCATAGATAAAAAGATTAATGTTCATTTCAGTCAGGCGTTCTAGCGTCGCACCGAAACAAATAGAATCGGGTCGACCCAATTAAATTTTGATTTCAGACAGGCGAACTTAATACACTGGAGAAATTATGCCAACAAACGAACACACGATCTTAGCAACAAGTACATGCAAGTAGGCATTGCGCAACACTTTTTTTCGGATCAGCAGCTGTGCGTGCCTTTTTCTTGACCCAACTAATTGGCGACATACGACAGAAATTATGGAAGTCAATAGACAAATTTTGCTCCGGGTTTTAGCAGAAAGAGCAAAGCGAAGGAAAATGCAAGCCACTGCAAACTATGCTGTGGCCAGGAGAAGACGGATAATCAGCGTGTTTGTTGTTCGCTATGTTGCTGCTAGCTGACAGATTTGCTGTCACGACACACCGTCGATGTCGCCGATTGGGTTGACACTGTAGCTAGTTCGATTATGTTTGGAGTAATTATTCGGATATGAGATTCAAGCAAACGTTCAGGTAAAAAGAACAATTGAAGAATTCCAAGTGACCGGAAGTGGAGTTTTTAAAATTATTTCCCTTTTTTGAAAGATTTTACTCAGACAGAATTTGTTATGAATATCAAAATCTAAAAGGTCCAGTTGGGTTCAGAGACATATAATCAATTTGAGGCAAAATAAATTTTCATAATCATTTTTTAAATGATTTACAGGTATTTTGGAGATTTTGACGAAAACGCCATCTCTGGACAGTATGAATTCAGCATCAAACAGCTCTTTGGCACAAAGCCATTTCTGTCTTGGTCCATTAAACCACTTTGTGCTCTGTCATCTGTGATGAAACTGGATTTCCTGATGTTATACGCAAGAGGACATCATGATGAAACGGAAGATGGTTACCATTTACTAATTTATGTTGACTTACTTTTGAAAAGTATGGCAGTTAACATTGTTACTGAATTAAATTAAATTGAACAATGCCAAAGACATCTAACACAGAAAATTGGAATTTTCTTCCCTTTATTGCATGAAGATTTTCTGATGAAAGTTTTCAACTTGAAATTGAAAATTGTGCCTTGCACCTTGGCCTATATACATGTAATTTTGAACACAACTACTTGTTTTCGAAAATTTGCTCTTTCAAACTGATTTTAGTAGCGGGAAGTGGGGTAAAATCATTACATTTTTGTTCTCAATCTCTTGTAAGAAAATGAGCAAGGCATGATGTCAATTTATGTGTAAATCTGTTCTTACTAATGTGATCAGTGTTATGCTTACTAATGTGATCAGTGTCATGCATGACTTTTCTCTTTTGATACAGGGTCTCACGCACAACATTCACATACATTCTGGAGCGTATTCGTCATCAGTTGGAGAAAGAAACAATTGCAGAAGACCCCGTATCACCAGAGTGCAGATTGGCAGTGCGTCTCTATCGTCTTGGGAGAGGGGACTATTACTTCACCATATCACAGCTGACCGGGATAGGCCTCTCAACTATTTCTGACATCGTGTCAGAGGTTACACGGACAATTGGGGATGTCTTTTGGGATGAATGTGTCAGTAGAAAGTGTCCTCAAACCAAGGAAGAACTGAGAGAAAAATGATAAACATGGAAGAGCTCTGGCAGTTTCCATATGCCTGGGCAGCCATTGATGGCTACCATACACCAGTCATGAGTCCTCCGGGTGGTCCAGCATCAAAAAAGGAGTATATATATATAAGTCTCATATTCTTTTTCCTTTTGAAATCTTTTAATTCCAGATTTTGTTTTGTCATACAGCCTTGCACTCTGCCACCAGTTTCTTGAATTTTGACCGCATTTGTTTTACATCAAATGTTATCTCGTCAGCGCATCTTTCTTGACATCTCTTCTCTAAAGAGGCCAATATGTTTGTGTTTATTACAGCATTGGCTTTGTTCTCCGTATTTTGACAGATTAGCTTGTTTTGGTAGTGTTCGTTGTTAACCACAATATCTATAAAGTCCTCAACGATATCTTGCTTCCACTCAGCTCTTCAGCCAGGTCTTCTTTTACGCTGTGAATAAAGTCCAGTTGTTATCTGTTCTTCATCTTCTTCGTCGTCGTCTTCAAAATCCTGTCATGACATCCCCAAAGAGAGAAACAAACGAAATATACAGATATTGTTTTAGTGCATTGATCAGCTCAATGCAAAAGCCCACATCCGTGTAGAATTACAAAATTATACGAAAAAATGTATCTTTGACATTATCCAATTTCATTCTGCAGAAAAGTGCAATTACATTCAGATAGTACAAAGGGAAAATGGTTTGTCCAACACTGAGGCATGGCAGAATGACAATTTTGTTGGCTTTGTTCTTAGCAATGAAAAAATATGGAAAGAGTTCTATAAATGGACAAAACTTGAGGACAAACCTATAATACTTGTCTGAAAACTCTTTTTCTAAGTAAACACTTCGGAATTTTTCCCCTAAATTTCATTTTGGGGACATGCTATTGTGGCAGATCTAGAAATGAGTTTGTTATTAAATACATGTCTTTTCATTGGAGTGGTTTCCCAGTAAAAATACAATTTTTTTATTTAGAGTTGCTCTGTATTTTTCTGTTAGTGTTTCCCCTGTAAATTTAAAAATATAAAATTTTTAAGGAAAATTATTGTTGTCCATATATGGATCTCTTGCCCAAAAATATTATTAATATCAAATCGTGTTCAGTTTTTACAATTAATTTTGCTCAAACTCAAAGGAAAACAAGCTCGGTGCGCAAGGAGGGCTGCTATAACTTAAAGTACAATATATCTGTGGAAGAGTCAAGATTATGCTGAGCACAAATCACGATCAATGCACGTAACTCAGTGCACGTAAGTGCACGCGGAGTGGGCTTGGTTTAAAGTGAAGTGACGGATAGCCTTATGTAAAATATGCAGTTCCAAGTGAAGCACACACTACGCACTGCATATCTAATGAAGTATCCGACATTATCGACATTGACGACTTGATAGTGTTTTCTACATCAGCAAGAAACGAAGACTGTCTTGGGAATTTAAAATACAAGTTGTTGGTGTGAGAAGGTCGTTATTAGAGGAGTCATTCCAAGCAAGTGTGTTCGTAGAGAATGAAGAACGGTACTGGTAGGTCGGCCGAATGATTTTCCGACCACAGTGTCTGAGGAAAGTTAACAGTGGAATCTGTACGCACAGCCGTTCGTCTACAAGCTAGCGTCTTCAAAGAAAAGGCAGAAGGAAGTTTTTTTTCTGAATCCACAGTCCATTTTTTCATCCACAAAAAATTCTCAACCATCTGAAGGTGCGTTTACTGTTGACCTTTTGATAAAGTCCTCAATATACATGTCCGCGGGGTTGGGAAAGGTTGCTCCTTCCTCTGGATGCCCCACTTACCAGGTCTTGAAAACAAGTTTTGCAAACGTAGAGTTAACTTTCTTCAGACTTCGAACGTCGGGGTCGATCTTTTCCAACAATCCAGAATCGTTCCAAGTGTAACATTACACGACGTGACATGCCAATTTTCCATTTTAATCTTTCGATCCATGCATAAAAACAATGCTCTGAAATTATTGCATCACACAAGAGGAAAACGTAAAATCTCCTTTTTATTATTTATTTCCATGTACTCTACAAGACGAGCGACAGCAAGTATCGGTCGGGAGGTGCCTCTCAAGGAAGACCCAGACATTTGCTGTTTCGGTTGGTATGACCTCTGAGATCGTTTTTGCCATAAATCACCTTCAAACAGTCAAACTTAGAATTTCCTTGGCTCTGCAGCAAATGTTAAAAAGCGTGCTTTTCCCTTGTGGTGCACAATTTTAATAGTAGGCCTACTCGCGTTAGATATACTATAAGCATGATAAAGATAGCATCATAGTAAAAAAATCAATTTTGTCAAATCAACAATGACTCTAAATGACATGAATAACAAGTTCTTTCTCCTTTGATATTAAGTATACAAAGATGCTATGCCTACGTGACTGTACAAATTCAAATTCAACTCAGTTTGTTGTAAGCAATCCGTGTCCAGGGGCGTAGCGACCGGGCGTGTGAGTGGAGCGGCATCCGTAATGAATAATTATAGAGCGTCGATCGGCAAATGAATCCAAAATTGGTATATGAACGAAATACGTTGGCCGTCGGCATTTCCCCCCTAGGCGTGAAATGCAGCGTACAGCGGATTTCCATTGTACGCGACACGAGGTTAGGGAACAAGTTACTAGTTGACTGGCTGCACGGCCTATGTTGCATATATAACCGTTAACCCTTTATTAAAATATTAAATGATAATCATATCCCGAGCTAACCGAGACACATTAAGGATGATCAAAACTTTGCAGAATATTCCGAATGCGAAAACTGACACAGATGTCCACACTCCACACAAAAGAGATAATTATCTAATTCATATACATTTTATGACGAGGGTTCATTGCAATCATTTATATGTCCCTGCGTAGGTTTTATTAGAATGACAGATAACGATTTCTTTGGATTTAATATCACCAAAGACCAGAATCAAGTTTGTTATCAATTACGCTTCAACCAGACTTTTTCATATTCTCACCTTGTCACGCCCTACGGCTATATACAACATGTCGTGTTTTGTATGTGTTCTGAAGCAGTATTTTACTTACGAAAACTTCAAATTCTTTCGACTTGTCCACATAATATTAATAATGTTACAACTATAACGTCACAATATCACATAAAATTAGCTTGATCATTGTTTCATAGTAGGCCTACCCACAACATTACGCTGCAGATTTAAGCAAGCCCAGTGTACTTTTTGTAATGATTTCAAATGTTCCATTGTAAGCTGATAAACATGATTTTCACCAACACATTTTTAAAGGGTCTTTATTAAAAAGGCTCATTATTTGTTACGATTACTTCAAGAAAAAAAGCATTTCTTACAAATCGATTACACTTAAAATGATCAAAACAAATGGGTAAAATAGTAGTATTCCAAATAACATTTTCTACAAATGTTGGGTAAAATGAGAAAAGTTTGCCCATTACTTCTTGAGGGAATCAACGCGGTCGGGTAATCTGTTTCAGTGCCCAACAGTTAGGCAATTCACCTTGTAGGCCTACCTAACGTTGGGCCAAAAATTGCCCAGCGTTTTTACAGGGTACTGTAATGAACGAAATAAACCCCTTTACCTTAATAGTTTCACTTGAAGAGTTACCGAGGTTTTGCCTTCACCGTTTACATTAAGATTACATTACAACGGATAGTATTACAGCCCTATGATGTACGGCTCATTGAACAAAGCGCAACAAGATCCGGCTACAACAGTGATATACTTGCGCCCATGTTTTGCACGTTTTTAAAATTGGAGAATGTCTTCGTCTGTTTCTGCAGAAATTCAGTGGTAGATGCACTAGATATGCACAATGACGTGGGTGCATTTTGGTCAAGTGTCGTTTGGAAGGGATCTTGAGATTTGTTAGCCTCCAATCAAGACGATTGCGGAGATGATGTTTTCTCACAAGAGCGATGTGCACAGCGTTTGACGACAAATTACTATTTGCTCTTCGCAGTCTACCGCCGCAACCGCCTTTACCGACGCGTTGTGATGTTTCATGATGAATAATTTAGTATTTCGCACAATTCAAATAACAATCATTTATTTCAGGCAATTCAGGTCCGCAGGCTTCCAGCTGCGAGAATGCTTATCATCTATCTATACATAACAGATTTTCTAACCTGCGCAATCTGCGGAAATTAAAGAAATGCAAAATTGCTGAGTTTTAGTTTCTCTGTTGCCCGAAGATTTTAATTTTAATGTGAGCAGAGGTGCCATCACATTCACACTTGCTCAACTTGTCAGACACCCTTCCAAAGCTATTATCGGTGAGGAGAAAAGTTCTTAGCAGCTAAAGCGTGAGCATACCACTTGCACAGAAGCCATGTTCGCGCACCAGCGGCTCTTCATTCTGACCGTCCATTCAGGTATATGTCAACAATCTTATTGGCCGATACAAGATAACACATTGTCTCTGTAACCATGCAATGCTCATCTTTCTATTGAAATGGGGGGCATAAGCTCCGAAAAACGAGTTGGCAAAAGCAGTCGGTGATCCATTGAATCACTTGCTAATATTTTCCAATCACTCTTATCGGGCAAAAATAATAATAAAAATAATAATAATAAAAAACTTTCAAAAAAGTGCACCCCTTTTCGATCAAGTTTTCCTTAATTGTTTTGTCGATCCTAGTGGAAATTTCACGGTTTTTTAAAGTGTTTTTACTTTTTTAGAGTGATTGTCACTCTTTTGGAGTGGCTTTATAATGGACCTTCTATTTTTGAGAGTGTGTTTTCACTCTGGTATTTAGATATGCCGTGCACCTTGAGACTGAAATCGAATAATAGCAGCGATTGCCTTAACTAAAGGGTGGGTCATATTTGTTATGCTTACAGGCTGCCTACATATGGGTTTGCGTGTTGACGGTGTCTAACTCCGTCTCGGCTTTGACTCGCTTGGGGCAAAACTTTGCCCGGAATTCTGCGAGACGCAACCAGTAAATGAACGGGTTAACGACGGAGCTCAGAAGCACGGCGGCAACGCTCCACTTGTGGACGACCAGGATGGTGTACTCTTGAGCCCATAGGCCCCCTCCTCTGAAAAATATCAAGATATTGACGCTGCAGAAAGGGATCTGACACACGCAAGATGTTATCAAGATGACAGTGAAGGTGATCATCAGTTGCCGAGTGCGGAGCAGACGGTCGCCCGTCTGATCATCGCGCGGAGCCGAAGCTTGAGCCTGTTTGTACTTTTTGATAGTCAGAAATACCACGCAGTAGAAAATCCCGGTGAGAAGTATCACAGTGAGGGACAAAAGGGGTCTGACAATCCAAAAAGTGTACTCCTGAACATACGTCAAGACCAGGAAGGTAGAGAGAGACAGGGCCCAAATGAAGAAGCAGTAGATTACCATACGACAACGTGTTACAATGGCGTCATAACGAGACGGCATAGTAATTGCAAGGAAATGATTTAAAGCAACTGACAGGACGCTCAGTTCAGCAGTGAATGCCGCTCCCCGCACCAGGGCAACTGGCGCTTTACCTGGGTGGACCTGTTGCACGATTGCTAGAATGGCAGAAGCAATGTCCGCAAGCACGAGATTAAGAATGAACCAATAGTATTTTCTACGGAGTGGCTTGGTCGTTGCGAAGACGGCAATCACCACCAGATTGCACGCAATTGCCACACCGCCGACCACCTCCACTGCGATTGTGGCAATATCCAGTGCGCCAAGAGCCATGGTAGGATTAACCTATTGGATAAAAATTCGTTAAAAGTACTCTTGGACTAGGCCAGCTTTGAGAACTTTTTCAAAACTCTCTTCGTACAACTCTTTGTTCTTCTCCAATGTTTGAAAATAAATTGACATCCTTTTGATGTCAAGAATACATGGAAAAGGACCCTTTGAAAATATTTCGTGTTTTAGCCATATTTCTTTGAAAGCAGAGGGCACCATTGAGAAAACAATATATTACATAAAAAGCAAAAAATACATCAAAGTACCATTTACAAAGAAAAGATTGAAAACAAACGTGCATTTTAAACTACTAGAGTGAACAAACTGTATTGCTCGGACCTTTAACATTTATATGCATGTAAAATCTGACAACAAGCCAACACAAGACAGCATTTTAACGATGGAGATGTATTACTCAGCAAACTTGTGCTTTCTACATCAAAATACTTAAGGTGTGCAATTTTTCCTTTCTGCTGATTAAACTTTTAGTAATTACTCAACATTCTGGTTAAGAAAGTTAAGTCTACACACCAGTTTTCAGTCAAAAGAAATGTCATCCCAAACTAGATGATTCTGTATTGCACTACCTTCTTGCATCGCACTTACTTGGTTCGCTGCTGTTTGAGGAAGGTCCACTGGTGAGAAGTTCTGTTGTGAAGTCCAGTAGCATGGGGCAGTGTATTTATAGACAACGGCACAGAGTGACGCAACTTGGCCAATTTAATGTATTCCTTATAGCTAGCGCCGGATCCAAGATTTTTGCCGTGGAGGTTCGGGCAATTTTGTTGGGGGGGGGGCTGTCTTCATCACCATGACATACTGCTCTAAACTGCAAATGCGCCCAAACATGCACTTTGAATTAGATAATACCCGTAATTAGCAATCGACCAAACTCTGTAGTACAACTTGGCTGGCTTCCAAAATGCATAATTGAATAATCAGTCATCCTCGAGCGACCTTAATTTTTAGTACAGTTGTAAACATATGGTTGACTTTACAATTTTTAGTTTGCATACTCAGTCTGTAAATATCCATAGAGTTCAGTAATTAATGGTAATGGTTACACATGGTAATATAAATCTACCCTGTAAGAACGTTGGACAAAAAACTGCCCAATTTTGCCCAACCTTAGTACAATAGCCAAATTGCTGAACTGAAGCTCATACACTGGGTAATTATTACCAAACGGGCTTTGAAAAAAGACCTTTGCTCAAAATTAGGGTAAACGAGTTACTCAAAAGGTAGTTATTCACTACTGCACAACCATTGGTTTGCATAGTATGTCCAAGTGTTGGTAAAGTTTCTCAACAACTGGGGCAGTAATTTATTAAGCATTTAGTTTTCTTTATTTGTGGCGTAAAATTTAAGAACGGCTCGGTTTCAGTTGGTTCCTCGCTCCTCTGTATCCACTGTATCCAGGCGTACATATGACCTTGCACTCGTTGGCAAATTCTTGATTTTCCCATAAATTATTCGATAAACATCCAGCGCGAATGCTCACTGGTTGGGACTTTATATTGGCACAAAAAATATGTTCTTAATAAATGAATGCCGGAAATGTGGTTTGCTTTCACTCTTTAGTAGAAAACAACACAAAACGGTGAGCTCTTCCACATTAAAGTAAACACACATTTCAACCGGTTGCATAATTACACGCATGTCTATAACTCAAAGGAATTGGACCTAATTTGGGCATTCAGTGGATTGGGCGGTGGTACAAAATGTTAGACCGAGCATTTAGTACATGTATCGTGAGTTTACATGCGGTTGGCATACATGTAGACGGCTATGTATTTCATACACCGCGACCAAGCCTAGCCTAGCCAAATTCAGCGCCCACTAAACAACGCAAAACCTTTCTGTCTGTTAGACAGACGTGTATGTGCATCATGATTTCTTTTCAAAATAAGAAGTCGTAAATTTAAAAAACATGTTTTACCATTCCCACCAAAAATGAAATCGTCAATTACGGTGCCAAGGCCCCACTCCTCCAACAACCACAGGACTTGATGATCCGCCGCCGTTGCATTGAGATCTACAGATACAGGCCGATCATTCCTAAATTTGTGGATGTTTCAACCCTCTTGCGCAGTAAATGCCCATTCGCTGAGATATGTTACTTCACTTTTTACCCAGTAATTCGTGGATGGATTCATCAGAACAGCCGAACAAATTAATTGGGCAATATTTATTCAGCTATCTTGACTGAAACTGGGACCAACACTGGTCGTTTTATGGATTTATCCAACCATTTACACAATGGTCGAACAAAGAAAGCCCAAGAATTTGCCTTTAAAGTTTACCCAGTCGTACTAGTGTCTAGGTCTATACACGAACAATTCCTTGTCGTTTTGTTCAGAGTAGTTCTCTTCCTTATCTTGACATCAACGGTCACTGTAAAGTGTTTAAGAGCCTAATCTCCCCCCCCCAAAAAAAATCTATCAACTTACTTTCCTAACTACCAGTAACATTCTGCTGATATACATTATGCATATGAAAATTAATGAACACTGTATTTTTTTAGATACGATAATAAGAAAAGATTTATTAACGACGATGCAACACAGTTTGCAACCGTTGACAACGTATACATGTATACACTTGTCAATTTTTGTATTGCTTTATTAACGTCCAGATTTTGCTTTCAACGTTCCTATCTTGTTGCAGTCTGCAATTCTACCCACTTTTGTTACTCTCATTGCAGGTAAAATTGACAGCGTAAGCCATTGACTTGGCTACAAGTCTCCTCGCTTGTTTTGATCAATCACGGTCCCAATCAGACCCTTTCTGATTTCTAAACATTGAAATTTCACAGACAGTAACTCCCCGATACTTGTGTCATGCCATCAAGCAAGTTTGACTGTTTGGAAGAGGAAATTACAGACTAAATTAGTGAGTGATGTGCACTGAAGTTCTGACACTCTATGGAGGCTGATTAAATCTGCGAGGAGCCGCCAGTCCTACGAAACGTACCATAGCACTCGCGCATGTCCCAACTTCAGCGCGTGCACACACTTTGGTAAATCAACCCAATTGGTCCACCTCCTGTACTTACATAGTTTACCATTGAACCTGATCGTAGCTTGGAGTAATACCGAAAGAAATGGTATCGAGTTGTGTTTAGGGTTGTACGACAAGACAAACTGCAGGGAGGAAGGGATCTGGTTCTTCAGATATCCCAAGTGCAAAAAGCAGCGAATCGTACAGTACAATGAACATCAGTACGTGTAAAGAAACGGCGATCTCGAGTGCACAGGAGAAATTACGATTATAAAGTCATTTTACAGAGCACTAAAAACCCAATCAGATTAAAAGCTATTAGCAAAAATGATTTAATGGGATTTTCTGAAGAAAAAACCCAGAAAAGCTTAAGAAAGTGATCATCAAAGTCGAACCCCTGTACCTTTCCAATGGCCTGCTCACACTTCTTGCCGCCAAGGCAAAACGTGCGCATGCGTGCAAAATTTTGAATTTATTTATTAAAAAAGCCTATAGAGGGATTTCACCTTAGCGCCGCCTGCGATTTTTTTCTCCTAGGATAGTTGATACACTGTATGCAAATTATGCGTTTATCGACCAATCACAAGGCGTCTTTGGTTGTGGAAGGGATTTGTCTCGAACTTATTATGCATGCATGCACAGTCATGCAAGGTACATGTACTGTACATACGTGTACATGTACACGTACGCGCATCTATCTTTAGTGACGACGCGTTAACATTGTAATTTATTTCCATTCTTATACAATCAGCACTTGTGGATACAATCACTGGCTTACATCGGCAGAGTCTCTGCATATTTGGGAGTAGTCCTTGTCAGCAACTTACTGTTTATGTAATCATGTCTTAATGAAGAATAAAATTAACTCAATTGAAGCATTTCATATTCATGTGTAAAATGTTTTATTAGTTTCTGCTCACATATTTTAATGAGACATTGGGGTTAACTCAGTCACTTTTAACAAACAGAATTACAGTAATTTTTCGACTAAATAGCAGATGTACATTTTAACCAAGATTTCTTTTATCTGGATGATATCAAAGAAAGATGTAAACATTATTACAGTACATGTACTTGTGCTCAAAATTGCTCGTAATCCTTTTACTTGGCGACTTCAAATAAAAATAAACAAAGAAACCCCCCATAAACAAAAAATGGGGAACATACATCTTAACTCAGATGTCTTTTATAATTATGGCCTCATAAAAAGATACACATCAGTTTTACAGTTCTGATGCCCCAAATTACTAGCAATCCTTTTTTGGTCAATCATGGCAAACGTCTTGAGAATGGTGACAGAGTCATCACTAAGAGCAGGTTAAATGAGAAATACATCATTTTTCAGGAGCTTTAGTGCTTGCTATGCATCTTCCGCAGCCTCTCAGGCCGATTTCCATTTACACATTCAGAGAGTTTATGGGGTGCTGCCATTTTTTTCTTAGGTGGTAAGACAACACCAGATTCCGTTGAATGTGACTGCTCTTTTTGTGGCTGTCTTGCTGTACCCATGCTCGGTAACGCGTGACAGTTTTGTTGGTCTGCATCAACTGGATGGTTGTGGTTAAACCTCAGGTTAACGATCATGGGGAACTTGAAGATATGGCCTTCTTTGGATCTGTAAAGAAGACAGAAACTTCTAGCAACCATAATGGTCTGTACTGTTTTCAAGGACTAATAATGCCTGAATTTAGGTCATTTTTTTTTGTTTGCACCGATCCCCCAAGTCATGCACTTTTCACTTTTTTGAAAATGAGCACACATCAATTCAACTTGTCTTCTAGCTTGGTGAATTTTGCCTTTATTAGTTTTGTCAAGAGGAAGTACTGGTTTGTTTGTCAAACATGGAAAATATGGGCATGTCTTTGCTTTACATGCTACCAACGAATATCCACCCCCAAATTTCAAAACGTTTTGCAAGTGCACTACATATTTCCATATATCAGCAACATCCGAAAAAAGCTACAGTTACACATTAACAGCTTTGGCAAAATTAGGCCCAACAATGTCATTTTGGAATACGCTGATAAAAAAACATATTTGAGAAATCAGACCTGACCAAAGAAAAGGAAAGCCGGTTTTAAATTCAGCACGCCTAATTATTGTAAAACAGTTGAAAAAGCCTTACAAAATTTTCAAATGTAAACAAGTGCAGTTCATCATTAAGAAAAGATATTTATTTTTACGTTATTATTCTCATTCACTTACGACTAATATGTATCTCATTCCCTATTAACCTTTTTTCTGTCTGAACGTTTCGCAACAATTGCCGTGGCAGCGGCACAGTCTGTATTTTTCTAAGCTGATGGCTGAGTGTTTGCTCTGCTGGAACGAGGCAGGGTTTGATGTTTCTTTAGCTCAAAAGAAGCAACTGAAACTAACCTGCCAGTGAAAGAATTGTGCACATATAAAACACATTGATATTGCCTTTGGGATTCAACTGGTCAACACATGCATGCATACCACAAGGTCTACCTTGAATATTATCTTGTCGCCAACATGAGGGTACACCTTGGCCAATCCGAAAGTGGTTTTTTTGAAACATCTTCAACTGTCTCTTCCATTCTTTGGCCCCCGAGACAGTCTTGATAGGGAGACAAAGCGTTGTTCTGAAGCCATTTTCGAGATCTTCATTCAAGCACACGCGACATCCATAGCATTCTGGTGAAATAACCTGAAAAAGGAGAAGAGTAAAATGAGTATGTGGCCTGTAGGCC